AAAAATGAGTGTACATCTTAGACAAACGGATTTCTCTCGATTCAAGCCACAAAAACATTCATAATGAATTTCACATTAATTTGTCTTTCCTTTCAATATTGATTCAATCACACTGTAATTAGACCAACATACACCATATATATAATTATTTATTCTAGAGAAAAGAAAAGAGTCACAGCCATTTTTTATTGAATCAATGAGCGTTATATTTTCAAATAAAAAAAATGAAGAAAACAATTCAATTTGTAAGGTCACCTAGGTGTAATAAGAGACAAACTCTCTCTAATTGTATAAATAATTTTTTCTTGCAAAAAATAAAATATATTACATCGTATACATGGAATGAGATTTTGTTTGTAATTTATGTTGATTGTTGTTTTGGTACGATCGACCCATCCTAAGTTTCAAGCTTCGTTGGGTTGACTTTGGATTGGAGGAGCTATAGAAAAAACGAAACAAAAAGAAACAAAAACAAAAAGAATTAGGTTACATCAAGCAGATGACACATATATGAGTTTGGAGACTTTTTTATGCGAACACCGCTGATCAGCGCCATCATGCATGATATCGGTGAACTCAATTTAGTTCGGTATCATGAAAAATAATTTGCTTTTATATTTTAGAACCAAAGATGATAGAAAATTATTAAAGTTTATCATAGTAAACACTAAAATTAATTTGGTTCAACTTCACACTGTAAACAAACAAAAAAATATAACAAATTGAAGTACTGCTTGGGTTACATTTTATGAATAAATGAATGAAGGAGAAAATAGTTAAATAAGCTGGACACCACAAAACAGCACAATGAATTAGATGTGATGTGCAACCTTATACAAATCGCTAATAACCAAATTTTCGAGGCGAATGACGTCGGTTCGAATGATGCTCAAATCATTGTTGGTCGCATCAATTTTTTTCCCAAGGAAGTCGATTTCTCTCTTCAGACTACTGATTTCTGCACCAATTTTTTTACCAACGAAGTCGATTTCTCTCTTCAGAGTTCAGACTATGGTTGGTAACTGAAGCAACGAAAATCATAGGTTAGTGGAATTAGCATGTTGGATTAAAATATTCTTAGATTTCCTTACTTGTAATTAGAACAATGCCACCGATTGTTGAGCCTTGAACAAAATAAGGCCATATACTAGGGAAAAAAATGCATTTTGTCAAATTTGATTTTAGCACAAACATACAAAAAGCGAAATAAAATTAAATAATAATACCTTTTAAGAAGTCCAACTGATTTTTCCATTTTTGTTTGGCTATTAAAAGAAGAAAATACACAGAAATCCAACAATTTGTTTCAATTGAACAGATTATTTGGATTCGAAATGTCAAAACACTGCGATTCGCTTGCTTGTACGTATGTTAAACGAAACGATAAAAATTCTGAATCATCTTCTGAAATCATCTGGTGAATAATCATTTTTTTTTTTTCAAACTTGAATTATTTCGTAGTATGTAATTTACCCTGAGTAAATGATTTGCAAAAAGATTTCAACAAATTAACTTGATATTTTCTGTTGTTTCTTATTGAACGGGAAACATGAAAAGAAATTTGACAGGTCGGTTTGCTCGTAACCAACTTCAGTTTTGATTTTTATCGTAGGCTTAAAAAAAAAGTTTAAAAGCATACTCATGAAAGTATGTAATTTTTAGCTGCTTTCTTGAAATTTGATATTTCAAAATGGTGGCCAAAAGTGCATT